CTATGGCATACTTAAATTGCATGGGAGCTTTTACTTCCATTTTTCCACTGACTTTAGAAGTGCATGATTATTATTGGAAGCAAGACACAACTCACTAAATCAATAACAAAGATAATTAGTTATTTTCCTTTAACAGCCTACTTTCTAAAGGTAGAACAAATGAATGAGGTCTGACATCTTGAATTGTGTAAAAAGGTAAAACATTGTTCCTAATATTCACCAACGGTTCATGACTACCTCAGTGCAATTGCTTTTCAGGCAAGATTGCATACCTTGGCATGAAAAGAAGGGTACTGAACTGGTATTTTGAGCTCAGGCTCTTCTCAATTCTGTGAGCACTCTCTGAAATGATGGGTTTCAAGGTTGCTTATCTGGAACGGCTTTGTATTTCTGCGGTAGCCCCAGTGCCTGACTTTTTTTTTTTTTTTTTTTTTTTTTTTCTTTTTAATTCTGGTATAATATATGTTGTGTTATAAGCTTTCACCGGTCCACATTTTTTCTGTTTAATAAGAAGGAAATGTAAACTTCTATCCTTCCTCTAATTTAGGCACAGTGGAATTTTATTTTTAGTTGCATTATATACTTAGCTCAAGAAATGGGAAAGCTGAGAATCAGGCCTCTTCCCTAGGTCTAACTGTTAAGCTAAATTGAACTTAAGTTGGTGGATTGAAAAATAAGCTCTCTCTTCCACTGAAGAGCCGTATGGCATATGTAGCATGAGAAGTTTTTTAGAAACAACTTTTTGAAAAGAATATTTTACTAATCCAGCTTATTATGGTGGTCATAAATTTATATTGAACTTTGAACTTGTTCAGCTTCAGCAAAAGTAGTTCCTTTACAATACCCCAATTTTCAAAGCATTGGTCTTAAGAAATTAGTATTGTTATGCCTCTTGAGAAAGAGGTCCAACAAATGAGGCTAAAACCCCAAACTGTTGAGGTGAGCTGTTGGCGTGTGCTTGATTAACCTTTGGGGAGAAAGAATTTGCAGAATGTTGAAGTAAACTTGCTAAATGTGGTGTAATTGTTTGCCAGCCTTACCCTTGCCTCTCTGTTTAGTCTTTTCCCATCTCCTTAAGCAATATGAGTGTTCCCTGCTGTTGGGGTTCTCAACTTAGTTCTTATACCAGTACTCCTAGATCATGTGTTTCTCACCTAATGCTTTTCCCGTTCCATTGCAGTAGGAGAACAAAGCGCTGCTGCCTGTGTTCAGTCAAAAACCTTTCTGGAGCGGGAGCTTGGGGACAGCATTGTAGTTTGACTTGGGATTTCGCAGTCCCAAACTTAATCTCTTTCTAGGTTATACCATCTTGAAAATCTAGTGCTAAATCAGCCTTGTAAAGTTACGTGCCCCTTTTAGTATGAATTATTCTTTTCAACTATAGAAATAAAATAGGATTCTTCTCTTACTGTAACTTTTAATAATTGATGAAACATGTAATATTGCATGGGGTTGGAGCTGATGCACTTTTGAAAAATTTTTTATTTCCTGTTCTGTTTGAGCTCAGCATCACTTCATGATGATAATCGCTGTTAAGCACACGTTATTAACAGCGTTACTGCCTTGTAGTTAACTTCAGTTCATTATACAGTAGTAAGAATAACAATGGAAGTCTGTAAGTACAGGGTTTATATGTACTGATGTGTTGATGAAACCTGCACTTTATCTTATAGCTATTTCAAGATGACATTGCTGACATCTACTTTTATTTTATATTTCCCAAGTAGATAGCATTGGGGAATACTCAAAGTGAATTCACGTACGGCTCAGCTATTGCAAAGACTTTGTATTCACAGTTGTGTTTTCTAGCGTGGAGTTGCCTCAGTGTGCTGCAGGAATGTATAATTAGGGAAGCATAATGAAATGTGCTGTTGACAGAAAAGTATGTTTGGCATCTCAAACGCTGATCTCTGACATCATTAGACTTCTGAAGTTCTGATACAAAGATAGTAAAGTGGCTTATCTAGGTTTATTAGTTAACACTCTGACATACTATGTTTTTATATTGTGCTATTTTAAATGCTTTTGCACAGCAAAGGCAAACGGTTTCGACTTTCTTACATGTTTGTGGCTACTGTTTGTCACTTATTTGTTATGCTCATTAAGGTTCCCGTGGTAGAAGAAAATAATGCTTGCTCATACTAATTTGGAAGATCAAAGCATGGCATAGAAACAATTTCTCAACTAACATACTCAAAGCTGCCTCTAAAACACACCTACATTTTGCAGATTTTTTTTTTTTAAAAACTACATGTTTCTTAAATATTTTAGTTCCTGGAAAAATGTAAATTAATGGAAACAAAAAGAAGTAAATATATACAGGCAGTTTGTTCTCCCAAATGTTAAATCCACATTTCCTTTCAATGGCTTCCACTTCTTTGTGAAGCTTTTCTACAGTTGGTTTTATTATTATTCACAATGTCCTGATATGTAGGTTTTGCTGTTTTTTCCTGTAAATACTTAGAATATGATCTGTAAACAAAATAATTCAGGTAGGACTTCGAAATATAACAAAGCCAGGTGGTTCTGTCTCAAGTATTCCATTTTTCCTTTATATTGCTCGTGTCTTACCAAGTGTATATTGACTATTTTTCTCATACTTTCCCTCCTAAGTCAAGAAATAACTTCCCCTGTATAAACGTAGAATGCTTAATGTTCTGTGTCACAAAAAAAAAACCCCTTAAAATATACTTAGCTCTTTCTACTGTTTGTAATAAAATCGTAGTCCTTTGTGAACGCTGTAGGAAGACCGCTGAAAGACAGCTGGAACAACACTTTAGACAAATGCCTATTAATGTTCTTCCTTTTCACCTATACATCTCTGACAAGGCAAATCTAATAAACGGTTCCCAGCTTTCCAAGGGAATATTGTTCTGCAGTGTATTGATAGTCTGTATGCAAGTATTCAGCTAAGTATTTAATGATCACTTTATTATCCAGTGAGAAATAATTAGTAGAACACTTACTTAATATTTGGTGAATTTTTCTGTATTGGTCCTGTGAATTATCTTTAGGTGTGGCTGTTAAACCTAAGAGAAATCTGCTGTTCTGCTCTTAGGAAAGAGGCAGATGTGGAGTGCCTGAGCCTGATCTTGGGACTTAAAGCCACGGCCTTTATCTGTGGGATGTGGGCAAACAGAGCTCAAGAGTTAGAGCTGTATAACCATTAACAGTTTCCTTACACCTACTTTTGTATTACTATCACTTGGTATTAATAAGTTTAGCTTTCTTTGCATAACAGAGTAAAACAGGGGCTGGGTTCTCTGACCAAGAACGGCGCTTTGTCGCCTGATGCGGCTTTTCAGGAGCATGGTGCTCGCAACATCTGACCGCGCAATGAGCCAAATGTTCTGCAGCCTCAGCCTCTCGAGTTCTTCCCACCATTGGTATTCCTAAAGGAAGAGGGATCAGTTTCTGTCTTTTTGACACTGACTTGCCCATGCTACAGTCCTTTTTTCTTTGATATGCCTGTCTGACTATATATCGTATGTGTAATTCCATTTAGTACTAGCACTTCATTGCATTTTTCTTGTACTATTAGCACACCCATGCAACGTGACAGTTTGTGAGTCCCTTTAGAAACAGCTTTATATGAACCACAATCTTAAAGACAACAGGCAGCAGAGCTTAGTGCTGGTAATAGCATATTTTAAGTTTTGTTGGCCCAAAAAGTCAATATAACATAGGTTCCCCCCCTCTTCCTTTCAATGAGATTACAGTAGTATGATATGAGAGCTAAAATGAGGTGATTTAACATCGTCTCTTCACAAAGTTGTTTTTGAATTGTAAGTGAGCCAAAGTAATTTACTTTTAAAATGCTTCCAATTGGGGAGAAGGCAGGATATTAATGAACAGGAACATGACACAAAACTGGGAGGAGTGGCTGATATGCCGGAAGGCTGCGCTGCCATTCAGTGGGACCTGGACAGGCTGGAGAGTTGGGCAGAGAGGAACACGATGAAATTCAAGAAGGGCAAGTGCTGAGTGCTGCACTTGGGGAGGTCGAACCCCATGCACCAGTACAGGCTGGGGGCTGATCTGCTGGAAAGCAGCTCTGCCGAGAGGGACCTGGGAGTCCTGGTGGATGAGAAGCTGACCATGAGCCAGCAATGTGCCCTTGTTGCCAAGAAGGTCAATGGTATCCTGGGGTGCATTAAGAAGAGTGTGGCCAGCAGGGTGAGGGAGGTTCTCCTCCCCCTCTACTCTGCCCTGGTGAGACCCCACCTAGAGTACTGTGTCCAGCTCTGGGCTCCCCAGTTCAAGAAAGATGAGGAACTCCTAGAAAGAGTCCAGAGGAGAGCAACTAGGATGATAAAGGGACTGGAGCACCTCCCCTACGAGGAAAGGCTGAGAGAGTTGGGCTTGTTGAGCCTGAAGAAGAGGAGACCGAGAAGGGACCTTATCAATACATACAAATATCTTAAGGGTGGAAGTCACGAGGACGGAGCCAGACTCTTTGCAGTGGTGTCCAGCGCCAGGACAAGGGGCAATGGGTACAAACTGAAACATAAGAGGTTTCAGTTGAATATGACTAAAAACTTTACTCTGAGGGTGATGGAGCACTGGAACAGGCTGCCCTGGGGGCTGTGGAGTCTCCTTCTCTGGAGATATTCAAAGCCTGCCTGGATGAAGTCCTGTGTGACATGCTCTAGGAGAACATGCTTTAGCAGGGGCGTTGGACTGGATGATCTCCCGAGGTCCCTTCCAACCCTTGTGATTCTGTGGAGTATTTAATGGGCATCAGGCAGAAAAAATGTTTTATTCCATCTTTGTTTCATCTGGCACTGTTATTGTATCATAGTAGCAGAGGTGTGATGATTGTTGTTTGTCGAGGCGGCCTCAAGTAAGGTTGACCTTGGCCTCTAAAGAGAGGAGGCTGCTGGTGACATTGGATATGTGTACAGTAAAAATGTAACAAAGCTTTGAAACAAACTTTTTATGACAGTAGGGCAAATGAAATATTGTGAAACAAGGGGTATCTCACACTTTCTTTCTTGCAGGATATCTTGAATAATCTTGATTCGTGTGATCTGGAAGATGATGACCTCATGCTTGATGTGGACCTGCCTGAGGACCCACCTCATGATAAGGGTTAGTAAATTAGCCAAGCAATCTTACTGTGAAACCGTGTTATGGGCTTAAGAGATTTTTGAGTTGCATTGTTCTGACTTCTGCTTTAATAAGCTAATGTGCTCTTCAAATTGTTTTTTCTTTAAGTAGCAACTCTTTCTTTTCTGAAATGCAGGAAGTGTAATATTTCTGTACCCCCAAATACAACTCTTGCATTTGAAGAATTCTAAAGTTGGACGTTTCCCACGTTTTATGAAAAAGCAACCTTGTTGCACACTGCTTTTCTTTAAATTATTTTAGTAGAATAAATTTCAAACTTTCAAGTCAGTCCTTCAGTCTCATGTTTCAGCTATATTTGAAAATGTTGGAACAGCATTTTTTCAGCTTCGGTGAATGACAATGTAATTATTTTTGAAGTAATTGTTTTCTTGTACAAAATGACAATATCTCATATTTTATACAATTCACAGTAACAGAAGCCTTAAGATTTAAGATGTGTTTTTTAAAGGTGTCTTCCATGCACTCTTGTTGTCAGTGAGGATGCTGGCAAACTGTTCACAGGGAAGACAGTGGTACCTAGATGGCCACTACAATAATATAAATCCAGACTAGAATGAGCTAGGTAAGGCAAGTTATTGCCACCCTTCCTCAAATCCTGGCCTGGAAAAGTTTGAGGCATTTGCTATTGGTCATTCCTGGCCTACTTGTAAGAATTGTCACTGTCATGTGAACGTGGGTATTAGCATTACCTCCAAGTTCAGTGGAGGCTCACCTATCTTCAAATGAACAGGAACACTGAATGCAGAGCACCCTAATGACCTACCCTGTGGAAAAAGGCACTGAAATTAAAAAGGCTTTCCTTATTTTTTGTACTGATTGGCTGCCTGCTGAAATTTGGGGAAATCCAGGGGTTTTTGATAGTACCCTTGAATTCTTTGGGTGAAGACTCCTGCAGGTATGTTAGATATGAAGCCAAATTAACAGTAAATAAATACAAGGTTTTTCATCTACTGTGGTGGTGGCACATCATGTTTTAACAGTGTGCACATATGAAGTGCAGTACTTAATCTTTTAAATCTCAGAATAAGTTCTCCAAAGCACTTGTGTGAAAGGCGCTTATTGACAGTAGTGCTAGCATTCAACTTCTCAGCCCAGATAGTTGTACAATTTTTATTTTTTGCTTTTTTAATTTTCCATGATGGATAACAATCCAAGCCTAGGGGATATTCTTTCAATAAGGGTAACTAATTCTGTTGTGAAAAACTAAGAAACTATTTTAAAGGGTAGATCAATTTCTCATAAGTTTCCTTGTTTATGAAACATGCACTGTGTCTGCATCAGTAATTCCATTTCAAATTATTAATGAAAAAATGCTAAAAAGGCATGCATTTTAAAGGTGAATGTTTGCCACAAAACCGTGAAAAGTTAATGTTTGCCATTTAATTTAGACAGAAATGAAATAGGATTTTCAATTCACTGTTTTCTTAATTGTGTCAATATAATAAACTTAAATCTACTCCCAGTTCTACAGCTAAGTATCAGTAATGTTTGTGTAGCTGGAATATGTTTTGTGACTATGAGGATCTGCTGTGTGAGCTGCTGATTCAGGAGGATAAACTTACTGTTTGAGATCAATATTAGCTAATTACTATTATTTTTGGCATTTCTTAAAAGTTGGGTTTCCATATAAAATTAATGTGGCATAAACTGGCTCTCTCTGCTATAATCACTTCTTATCTTGAAATCACTGAATTTTTAGCAAAGAGGATCTGAAAAGAAGAGTTCAAAAGCCACCTCCAGGCTTTTCCTTAAGTAAACATGACCACCTGGAAAAGCAAAATGTGTTTTGTTAACATCCACGTGTCTTTACTTAGTGGCTCAATTTCATTTTCCAAAGCTGAAAATCGTAGTAATAAAATGACTTAGAAACTTACATAGGGCTTATTTTGAATAGGTCCACTTGAATTTTCATGTGTTATGAACTGTAGAAGGATGCTTCTAAAGGAAAATAAATCTTCTGTTATTTTAGGTGAACAACTTTCTTTTCTTACCTAATTTTTTGGTTGTTGAACTAGGGGACAAAAACTGAATTGTAGATATGAGTATTTGTTATAATAATATTTAACAGCGCTTTTTGCTAATGCTTTTTTCGTAATTCTGTGTGACTTCACTGACGTCAGCCTCTTAAGACTTTCCAGGTCTACGGGAACTCTTCTTGTTTCCCTTTGGAGTCTGGGATGCCGCTTGGACACTATTTATAGCAACAGTTCTAGCTCAACAAGTATGCAGTGAGTGAGGATGGGAGTTTTAAATCACAGGGTAAAACTGGGCTCACTTCCCAACAACACGCAGGCTGGGAACTAAGCAGGAAGGAAGGCCTGTTTATGAGCGTCTCATGCGCAACTATGTCTGAGTAGGCAGCCCAGTAAAACAATGTTCTCTTGTGTAGAGTTATTCTCCTAGCAAAGGACTGACAATGTGAGGAAAAACTCCTTGGGTAAGTGAAGGAGAAAACTGCTATTCTGCCATTGCACTTAGGACTTTTTTTGCTGTGTCTGACTGCGGGGATAGCAGTTGTTTTGGCTTTGATTTTAGTGGTTTACAAGCTGTTGCCAAATATAGCTTTTGTTCCCTTAAGAAGTTTGTGGAATCTGCTTCGCTTTGCAGAAGTTAGTGTTTTAAAGAGATTATTTTGTTTGCTTGTTTTAAATCATGCCTGTCCTCCAGGTAAATAAAGATTAAATGTGTTTCAAGTTGGAAAACAAACAAGATGAATAGGATGAGATATATCTGTATTTTAAGTAATGAAAGTGTTCTCGTTTGGAATGTAGTATTGGCCTTTTCCTAAAATGTCATCTTTTTGTGTTTGTGTGTTGTTTGAACTTTTTAAAGGCCTGAAGATTCTGTCAGTAAGAAAGACAGGAAAATGTTACTTTTGGATTCTTTTTTCTTACCCATAGCCCTACCCCCTCCATATGATTTTCTACTTAAACAAGAAATACTGTTAAGACCAAATCATGTAGTTTCTGCTACAGGTTACCCTTATTCTTGTAACAAGTTTTATATGCTAGCAAAAATGTGACATCATTACAGAAGTCTGCTTCACAGTCCTAAAATGCATACTTTTTTGGATCAGTTTAGAAAAACAAAAGCCCACAGATTTTACACTGCTTCTGTCACCAGCACATAGTAAATATTTTATTTACAAGGTCTTAGGAACAAATTTTATAATTTTTTTTTTTACTTTATGCTCTCTGTAGAGGAATGTGAAAATATGAGCCGTTATGATAGACAGGACAGAAATGCTAGGCAACATCAGGAAGGATTCTGGAAAAGAGCACCACAACAGCGATGGAATACACAGGATCACTATCACCTTGGCAATACCGATCACTACATCCATGGTAAAAATGATTTGAACAGGTAAAAGACTTGTCTCTTTTCTCCCAAACAATTAAAATACTGTGATGAGAAATCTCTTTTGGTGCTAAAGGGTCTTGAATACAAGACACTTTCAGAATGGCTGTATGTCTATAAATAGCATGTCTGAGTGGGAGTATCACTGAGATTTATAAAGATTTCTTTTCAAAACTTTTGTTTCTGTCACAGTTTTCAGTCTAAAAACTTATTACTTGTGTTTCTGTACCACTATAAATGCTTGATTAAATTACCGTATGTGTTCCATAGAAAAACATTACACTGTCATATTACATGGATTTTGTAAGCTTGGACAGCTTTTTACTTATCAATTTGTTTTTAAATTAAGTGTAATCCTATAGTTCTTACAGGCTAGCTTGGATGACAGTTTATAAAAATCCTGATGAGCAAACTTGTTTTAGGGTACTGTAGTTGTGCCTGCGAGAGACTGATGCTAGTGGGAAGGAAAGCCCAGCATTTAGGTGAAATAGGATTGACATTTTATGATTGATTTATTTTCTGCTGTATGCCACAGTGTGTGAATGTAGCCCACGTGACGTAACACTTTCTTTTTTACTAAGTGCTCTCTAGCTCTAGTTTGTCATCACTGTATTTCTACATATTTATTTTTTTTTTAGGGGATCAAACTACCGAGAATCTCCTATTGGTCACTTTGAAAGCTATGGAGCACCAAATTTTTACCAGGCTCCTAGACAGCTGGTGGGCTTACCGGAGAATACTGTGATGCTTGATGAAATGACGCTTCGGCACATGGTCCAAGACTGCACAGCTGTAAAAACTCAGTTATTGAAACTGAAGAGATTACTGCACCAGGTGAGCTGTTTAAATAGAACAAAAGCAGTAAAATATATTGGAGTGTGAGGTTGAATGGGCTAATGTTCTGTTTGGCCTTATTAAGCTATTGTAATTTCCCTTTTACATTGAATTACAGTGTTCAAGAAAGTGTGCACTTTTTATTGCTATTTAAAATAGTACTTTTCTGGCTTTTTCAGCACTTTACTGACTGCAAAAAATATTAAATATTGTTATTCTGCTTCTCTGAGGAAATAACGCTAAATTAAAAAAAAAATCAGTGGATGTGAAGACATGCTTTTATTTAATGAGATCCTAAAAAGTTGTGAGTAAAAAAAAAAATTAAAAAATATGAAAATCGATTCTATTGATCAAACTTGCATTCAGCAAGTCAATGGTAATAGCTTTTTCTTAAGGCTGTGTTTTCCTCATTCTTTTCATCTTTTTTGTGTGTTTTGACAAGAAACTTAGCAAATCCTGCTGGCTCATCTCTATTGGAAGTGCTCAATTTAACCTTTCTACTGTATGAAATCACTGAATTGTCATGAGCTTTTAAGGAGCTTTTTCATTTCACCTCAAAACTTGGCAAATTGTGAGAGTTGGTAAACTGCTGGATGACTCAGTAGAAGGATGGCATTTCAGCTACAAAAATTCCTTTGCAACCTTAAAAAGAAAAAAAAAGTCCGTGAGACTTTCTTTGGAGGCGTATACAGATTAGCATTTAAAAGTATCTGTATGATGGTCTCTTTAATACTAGATTTACTGCTGTTCTTCACTCACCGGATAATGTCATGGAAATAGGTTTGTGCCCTAAAAGTAAGACACTAAAACCAAACACAGCAAAGCAAAAAGCATCTCAACCTTGAGGCTAATTCAAGGGTATGACTGTGCCTTTTAGAAATGTGACCATTTGCTTTCGATGCTAACCGAGAATACTGGAGATGTTTTTCCCCTGACAAAATCAGAAATGCAATTGTAACAAAAATAATGTAGTGTCAGAGAAGGGAGGATGTGTTCTTAGAGCCTGATGTCTGAGTAGTGGACTGCATACACTCTGCTCCCCAACAGCCTCGAGCATGCAATTAGTGCATGAGATAGCAAGGAACTCTTTATCCACAGCTTTTAATGCCTTTAACACTAGGACAATTAAACAACTGGCCAGATGATCTGTGTGTGTGTAGTTCATTGTGTAAAGGTGTGCATGTTATAGCCAAAGTGTGTGGCCCTGCAGAATATTGTATTTTAAATCTTGATCTAGTTTATAAATAGCCAGACTTTTCTAAAAGGTTACAGAACACAAACCTTGCCTCAAGTAGCTCAGGTTAAGTTTTTTAAAGAAACTTAAACACACAGAAGAAACAGCTACTCTACTATGTAAGTTCTTCAAAATTTGCTGCTTCTCTTGCCAAAAGCTTGATCTTCTCCCCCTTGCTCCCTGTAATAAGTGAGATTTGTAATAACAAATATTACCCTTCCCTTCAAACTTTGTCAAACCTACTTCTTTGTATTTTCCTGACCTAACCACCCCGTTTACCTCGCTGCTTCCAAAACTCAGCACTGGACTTCTGATTATTTATTCTGCTCCCCTGTGTATTATCTACCCTTTTAATCAAATGATATGAATAGTAGCATAAGGTAAATTAGCCTGCTACAGAAGGGAAAATTTAGAACTTTGCTACCTTTCTTTACTAAACAATTAGAGCAAAACCTGTATGAAAGATCTTTTTCATTATTTTTAAGTGTTAAAACTTCCCTGAAAATATTGAGCTTTTTGCTAACAGAAATGAATAAAACTATGATTTTTTTTTTTATTGTAAAGAACAGAAATACAATTTTGAAAACAATTACATGAACTTAGTCTGAACACTGAACCAGGACTTGATCTCAGTCTGGGTCATACGACAGGCCTCTTCTTAAAAAATATGAAAAAGCAAGATACAAAGTCAGCTCCTTTCAAACACTAGCTTTAGGTAAGAGAGCAGAAGTTCTTATTGTTGCTTCACCTCTATTACACATTTAAATGTGTGTTACCTTTTTCCAGTTATGACTTTTAGCAATATTTAATATGAATAGGTAGAAATAGAGCTGTAGTCAGGTCTTAGGCATGAGGTCACGCCGGAACAGTTGTAGTAAGATAGTGAGATACAGTAATTAAATTCTGTTTTATACAATTACCTAATCAACTATGGTGTGACTTACATTCATTATGTGCTGTGCTCGACAGTATACCTGGCAGATTCCTAGGGAAGCTTTACATGCTGTACTGGATTCATTGCTGCGACTGTAGCTCACGTAACCGTATATAAATTATCTTGAATATTACTAGCAACATAGCAGCAACAGCAGGGGTTTGGTGTTGTGTTCCCAGTTCTGCTTGGAAAAATAAGTAATGATTTGAGTAGCTTTTTCTAAACTCTGTGAGCAGGTTGACAATGCCAGCAGTACCTATGCTGTATGCTCACTCCCACATACTGCTGTCTTTCTGTATCTTCAAAGAGTGAAATCAGGAATAGGAGTCTCTCTCGTGCAGAGTTTCTTAAAATTTTCACTGTAGTGAGAATAACCTCTGCTTTTGCAGGAATGTTGTACTAGCTTATATGGAGTGCAAAACGTACATTCTTCTTACACTAAAGGCGGTTGTAATTATTGACAGGGAGATACTGAACTCTGGACAATGTTCTCGCTTAATTCTTAACTGGAGCACTAACTTTGTATTGAAGAAGAAAATGCTTTGGAAGTCTAGGAGTAATTGCCATCTAAATGTTAATGCCTCTTAAACATTGACTAAGGTACCTCATTTGCATGCTTAATAGTAAATAAGTTTTCTTCTGATCTTAAAAATGTCTTCCGTCTTCCTCCTCCTCAATTAATTTCTTAAACTTGCTGCTCTAGGTTGAGGCTACAGAGCTAATGTGTTAGAACATCCTTACTTAAGTGAGAATTAATTTTGGATGCCCTGGAGCCTTTGATCTAGGGAAGAATTGACCATCCTCTGTAGTAAGTTCCTCTCAAGACTGGCAGCAATGATTTGCAACCACCCTGTCTTACCTCAGATCAGCACTTACTGATATTTTAGGGAGGACCGAAACATGAAACAGTTCACAGAACTGTGAGATCCGAGAAGCCCTTTTTTCTGGAGAAGGCAAGTTTGTTTTGTTGTTTTTTTTTTTATAAAAAAATGTTTCTTTCCAACTTACCTTTCCTGAATGGAAAAGAAATTCTATTTTTCAAGCACAGATCTTCATTGTAACTTATCCGATATGACTGACCCATTTGTATGAAGAGGTACAAATTGAAAAATGAAGTCTGTACTGCAAAACTGTTAAATGCACCAATATATTTTTGCTGAGGCTTTAGGTTAGTAAGTCACTTGAGTACCTTTGAAGTGTTCTTTATTGTTATTTTCTTTTTGCATCTGGTGAGATCTGTCAGAGATATTTATCTTTATTATAAGAAGCCTGAAGATAAAGAGCAAACAGATTTAATTAATGAAATACAAAGGTTTCTTTAACGTGAATTAAGTTGTATAAATTGCACCTACAGTTGTTGGGGTTTTTTTTAGCCACAAAATAGTTCACCTCAGTGACTTAATTGTGCTTGAAAGAAACAGAACTCAAGGACTCAACAAACAATAGCAAATAAAACTGGCAAACTTTAAGTTTAGACAGCTGGTTAGCTGTTGGACTGTCATAACCGCATTTGACAGTGGGCCATGGAAGCTGTATGACATGTGTTTGTAGAGATATTTGAATGAAACGACAGTCAAAATGCCAGGTAGTCAGCAGGTGCATAGCACCCTTTACTTGATGGACACTTAATGAATTTTCTGCTTGCATCTTTATAAAAATGCTGTTGGCAGAGGAGACTATTCAAATAAGTAATTTGTACCAAAGAAAACTTTGAATTGGGAATCAAAGGCTGGATTTGTTGTATAAAACTTTAATAAACCTTGCGAAACTTTAGAAGCATTTTTTTAGCATTTTTCAATTTCTTCATGAACTGTAGATGCTGCAATGTTGAAAGAATTCTCAAGATTAAGTTTTTAGTATACTACTACTAGTATATTCTTTTAAAATCCTGCGTGTTAAAAGGCAGCTTACGCTGTTAGGGACCCCCAAGATAATTGCTAAAAATGTGTTTGCTTCTAATGGCTTGATTTTTTTTTTTTGTATTTATTTTTTTTTTCATACTAGAAGAATTTAAAATATGTAAGTGGTAGAAACAACTGTTGTCTTTAAGCTTTGAGCTTTGTATCTTCCTCTGAGATGGTATGGGAGATTTCTTCTGAGGGAGAATACCTTTTATCTTGTCTCTTCTATTCTTCTAGAAGTTCTTTTTTTTTTTTTTTTTTTTTTTTTCCCCCTTTATTTTACATGTGCTTTTAGCTAAAGCCTGCAAGTCATGTCACCCAAAGAAAGCAAGGGGAAAAAGGAAGATGGAAAGAACAGGCAGTGAGAACAGCTGTGCTGTCTGTATGCTATATAAAAGGCGCGTGTTTATGATATTGAAATATCATTTGTATATTGTTCCGGGGACTGTTATGGTATATTTAGTCACGGAGCTTGACTTTTCTTTTGGTTGTGGGTTTCTTTTTTTTTTTTTTTCTTTTTAAAGTAGAGGCATGTAAAATGAGAACATGTACCTGCTGAGAGGATAGGAGAAAACACAAGCAAATGTGGCATTTTTGAGCTGCTGAACTGTTTATCAGCAGAAACACTGCAGTGCTCAAAGCCCAACAGTCTATAGCAGGTAAACTGCTGCTGTGTCTCATCAGCACAGTAGGGTAGAAAGGTAGCCAGGTTTTTTGTTAGGCCGTTCTTGACTAAGTACTTGTAGCTGATGCACTTCTTCCTAAATAATAATCTGTCACTAAATAAAAATTAGTATTCTGTTTACCAAAAGCAATATGTCAGTTCTTTGGGAACTTGTAAGGTGAAGCAAGCACAGGGATTTGTGTGTCATTTGTACTAAAGATTTCACATTTGTAAAGTACAGGCATGAGAGCGTGTTAAGCCACTCAAAAATAGAGGTTTCAATTTGCGGCTCTTTGTATTTGGGTGAGTTGTGGTGTCCCTGTGACAGCCACGATGGAGGCTTATTCCTGTAATGCCTAGCTCGTGCTTGAGATGGATTAAAAATGATGGATGCAGATTTAAGAATATAATAAGGTGCTTCAGTTAGACTGTAACATTTGGGAGTGGGTAAGTAAAAAAGTTTGGCATGTAGAAAATTAATTGTCCAGAGAAATAAGGTGCATGACAGTGTTAACACGCGGGGAAGAAAGGATCGTCACATGTTTTGTACATTTAAAAATTTTATCTGTAACTGTCACTGGGTTTGTCCTGAAACAAGAGAATCAACTGGTTTGTAGAAAACTAAGATGGTATTAACTTCCCAGCAGATAGCCTTTGCAAGGGAAAATGCAGCTGAAATAATATTCAGCATGAAATCAGGCTGCTTTGATAGTCATGGTTGTAAAGTTTTAGACATTCCTCTGGATTTGTTGTATAGGCACCATGCTGATAAATACTAAAATGTTGCTGGAGAGGTGGTGAATTGTATCTCTGCACACTTGTTTTCAAAAAAATAGTGTAAAGTTTCTTTCAGAGCAACCTTTTAGCCTTTGAGTATTCTGAAAGTGAAGGGAATTTGTGTGTGTAATTTTTTTTTTTTTTTTCCCCACCAGAACCACCTGTTCTCTTTATGTAGCTATTAGTAAATTCAGGATGACTTTTTAAGTCTTGCCGGAATATTTTGTAATGGTTTCTGACTTCAGGTTTGCTGTAATTTTGTAAGCCACTTTAAAACATATCTTGAGGCATGTGATTACCTCAGCTTGTTACATAGGGACCACCCAAAACTGGCCAAAAGCTGAAGTGTATGCTGGTGACCTAAGTCCAGCAAAAACTTTCCAGTAAATGTGAGTGAGTCGAAAGTCACTGCAGACAGGCAGTGATTCGCATGGGTTGCTGATCCTCATAGCAACAAGGACTGTGAAATGGTCAGTCACTGCCATCTGAAATTATTTAATTTCTTAAATGAGCATATTGTTGATTAAACATTGCATGCAAATACATATGCACGTATGAATTTATATCAGGTTAAAATAATCAATCTATAACTGAAGACTGTCCCTACATAACTAGTTCAATGTGAATGTCTGCGACGTTAGTCCTCTGTCAGCTTATGTACTGCAGGTTATTTTCATGCCTAAACTGCCAGTAATGTTTAAAAATAAACTGTACCAGGATTGCCGGAATGTATGAGGTTTGAGTTGTTTGTTGCAATGGTTTAAATTTAGGAAATAGTTACAAATATCAACAACTGTGTTTTCCTTCTAGAAGCATTCCTTCTAATGTTGCTGGTTTTCAAAACCAATCTTCTGCTAAGGAAATCAGATTTAAATGTTTTGTTGCTGCTTGTGTTTATAAGTAGAACTTATTTTTCAGTGCATTTGATGAACATTTGTTTTTGATAGGGCTAACAAACCATCCTGAGTTCTTGTTTTTGCAAGCATCTTTTACATTTGGCACAAATGAGATGAGTGCTGCTGTTCTGAGGAGGTGATTAGGCTGTAATAGATAATGTATTCTACTGTTGTAAAAATGTTAGTCAAGTAAAAACCAAGAGGTAGCAGCTTTTTATATTGCCTATTGCTGTGTGGTGATACCTTTATAAAATTTATTGTAATGTTACCTAAAGGTTAAAAGTGTATGTTGTGTCCAAGTTTCTGATATTTGATGATATCTTAACATAAAACATGTAGGCTACTAGAAATAGCACGTGCATATAACCAGTTGCATTTGTTTTGCTAATTCTATTGTCATTTTGGTAATTCTAATATCTTTTTGTACACGGATAGCCTTATTCTGCTGATTTTCCCTTCCCCAATCTCATTTTAGCAATGTGATGAGCAAGAAAGAAAAAGCAAAACAAGAAAATTTTCATAGATTAATCCTAGCATATGTTCACAATGGGATGCTTAGTCTTAGAACTAATTTTTTTTCTGTTGCCCTGTGTTCATTATATATATTAAGATAATTAAGACAGTGGTAAGGGAATTGATGCAATTGCACTTAGTTCTTTGCTAGTGAATATTAGGTACAGCATGAGGCTGGAGTACTTGATTTAAATCACCAGAGAATATGTGACATACAAACTTTCTTTGCAATTGGGTCTTCATCTGCTGTTGTAGAATATTTTGTTGCTCCACTTACATGCATTTTAATGGGAATAAAAAGTATGCCAGAGGTATCAGTGACAGAGCTTTTAAAAGCTGTGCAAGATAGTTTTGCATGAAATAGTTTGTCTTGTGTTTTTTCCATTCCCATGGTTACTCCTTCACAGTTATAACTGTGACGGTCCGATGTAGCTTTTCTTCTGAGTGCATGTATTTGAGTAGTTGTTTAAAATAACAAATGTTGATGAAATCCATTAATTGTAGAAGATAAATATAAAATAGAACATAAAATATAATCTGATAATCTGTACATGATTCTATGATTCTAATTGTTGCTCGTTTCCTCTAGTATTTTAGAAATGGTTCGGATTAAATAATGTTTCTTTCCTTGTCGTGCAAATAATTTCAAAAGACTTCATTAGAACTTGTCTGTAACATAGACTGTGAACTGCTGCTTCATCAGCCTGTCACTTGCTGGGGCTCTGCCCAGAAGGGACAAGCAGCTTCTTGTGAACTGAATACAACTGTGGTGGGCAGTGTAAGCTGAAATGTTTGCTATGTTAAGGAGTCGGAAGCCTTGAAATTTGTCTGCTCTCACAATTAATAGTTTTTTTTCTAAAAAAAAAAAAAAAGCCAAGAAGTTTAGAAAAAAAATCAAAACAAAACCAACACCAAAAACCTGCAAGGTATAAAATTACATGTAAATGATGCAAATTAAACTTAACTGTCTTGTAGTGTGGTAAAAGCAATTTGGAATTGTATGATAATTCCTGGTATTTTTAAGTTGTGTGATGGTATTGCATATTTTGGCTACAAGTAATTGGTGATTATAGGAGAAAGTAAACTTAATTGTTAAAATTGTTACATTTTTAAATCAATTTTAATTTTTTTTGCTTTTTTGTATCCGGACAACCTTGTTGATGTGTCTCTGCAGTTTAGTTAAAAATTTATGAGAGATATTTATTACGGATTAAAAAGCAAAAAAGCTACCTCCTGGACATAAAGAACATAAATAGGTCTATTGGGGGTTTTTCCCTTAATTGATCTTTAGCATTTGAGCTGCAGTTTTTCTCATGGTTTTGGGCAGTTGCTGGCTTGGCCTCAGAGTAGGTTTAGACGGGTTTTGAGATGTGCTGCTCTTAGGTTGCAAATGCAGCCTTAGGCAGTGAGGTCACTGCGTAAAGAAACTTAAAAAATAAAGGAGAATACTGTAAGGTAGAAGATTTTTTTAATTTAATTTTTTTTTTTTTTTTAAGAAGGTAGCAGATGGAGAAGATAGAAGAGAGGGGGATGGGGGGGAATAAATCCTTTTACACCAAGGAAACGGTGGTTATGATCTTCCCTGACCATAAAATAACTGTAATCATACTGTAGTTTTGCATCACACAAAGACTGGACATAATATCATGGTACAAACATGAGAATGTATCATGAGAATACACCGTCCGTGGTTCAGTCTGTGAGCTTACGCTATAACCTGACCCAAACCTTTTCAGGGTTGAGGGCCACAGGTTTAGGGTACCCCGGGTAATGGCTGCCTGGGTGTCTGTCACGAGGGTGTAAGTGCTTCAGGACGTATCCAGGCAAACATCTTTTGGCACCTTTGGTCATTTCTGTTTCTGCTTGCTGTGCTTGCTTTTGGAATTCATGGCTGTCATGGTGGGGGAGAGATTACTTTTGTGTGATTCCAGTTTATTATAATTGATGTTTAGTTCTAATGCCTGTGAATTAGTTTTGTATTAGTCTGTCCAATACCAAATGTTGCTTTTTTTTTAGTTAAGAATTCCTAGCTGAAATATTTTGGCTGTGTGTTTTGATTATTGCTCAGACATGTTATTTGAATGGATACTGAAGGAATTGTAGCTTTTAAAGTCACATAACATCACCATTCCCTCCTGATAGAACACGTTTGAACACTGTGGCCTGTTTTTACCAATTTTTGTGCAAAATCAACATGCTTGAACCTAGCTGCAGCTGTTCCTTCAGCTTTGAGAGGAGAGGGAGGCTGTTCATGGCTCTTTTTTTGGGCACTGTACGCGTGCTACAGCAAGGGAGGCTTCCCTATCAGTGGAAAAAAGGAAAATTCACAGTGAGAAGTGTCAGACATTGTAACAGGTTCTGCAGAGAGGTGGTGCTTCTCCATCCTTGAAAGCAAGTTTACAAGGGAGTTGTTTCAGCAAGTAGTTTGAATTTTTGTTGTTTCTGTTCTCTGATAGAATGATGAAAATGTGTCGCTCCAGGACATCTCCCTCTCTGTTCCATCAAGTCCAGAACCACAAGACACAGAGTCAACTTTTAAGGTAAATGACACTGATTTACTCTACAGAAGAGGTACGAGTCTGTGTTTAAAAAAGCACAAGCAGAGACTTCTGTGTCACTGTGAAGTAGTGCTTCTTGCTTCTTTCATCTATTTAAATGCAAACCTAGCAAGTTTTTTTTTTTATACTTCATCTCTTCAGTTTTGTTAAAATAGAAGGGATTGTTTGACTTCTTAAAATATATACTTACAAATGCTAGAACAGTTTAAATAATTAAAATAACTTTGCCTTTTGGTATTTGTAGCAGTCATGTGGGAATTAACAGCTGTAGAATAACGTCTTTCAAAAATTTGCTGCCTGCTTGATAAGTGTTAGAATTTGAAGACAGCTTTTTGCTTTGAAGTGTAATCATACCATCCTTATTCAGTTACTTGCTTTTTCATTACATTTATTGTTGATTTCAGTTTAAAATTTTTTCGTATAAAGTAAGTTTTCTGTGAGATAATGCAGGTGTTGCAGACGTAACTTAAAAACAATGTGCACCCCACAAAGTCAAAGACGTGTTTGTTGTTCTAGAATGGGTATTAAAGGAAAAAGCAATTACAGTGGATATTCCAAAAAGGATCATCTTTTATGGTCACAGACTTGTAATGTTGTGCTTTCTACAGTTTTATAGCATCTCTAAGGGTTTATAGCATTGCTTGAGGCTCTTACTGTAAAATCAATACAGAAAGAACACTAATCCTGCACTTAGAATAGGGGAACAATACTTGCTGAAGATATAATGAAATTAGAAATACTTCTTGAAAGGGAAGAACACTTACGATCTTGCTCCTATTTGAAGGTCATCTGTCCAAATCCTGGTTTCGGGGTTTAAGAGGTTTGCCAAAGCTGTAGGTCCATATGCATTATTTTTTAGCAACCCTGGTTTCTACATTGTTACCATTTAGGCCTTCTTTTTACTTTAAGTGCTGTCTGATATACTTGCTGTGCTTGTCCTTCTGCAATCACCTCCCTCAAAATCTTAGTCTTAAATCCTAGAGGAAAAAGGATTGCTTTTTAACCTAATAACAAAAAAAAAAAAATGATAGGTTTAACTGACATTTTGAATTGTCACTTCTTTACCTGATACTGTCATGTGGTTTGAGCAATCGCGCACCAAAACAGGCTGGGTGTTGTCCTCAAGCAGTAACTAATAACATCTTCAGTGAAACTGAAATATTAGATGTATGCTACTAAATGGAAGTATGCCCCTTAATTTATGGCCTAGCTACAATGGCACAGCTATAAAATACATTAAAATTACCTTGTCATGACAACTTATTTTTAAAAAATTCATTCTTGCATATTTACCAATTTTTTTAGACTCTGAACTTTGCACAATTATTTTTTAAGTCTGCAGTTTTTAGTAGGATGCATTCAAATCAGTTGTGGTGCTTGCATTCAGTAGATGTAGCTATGCTTGTTTCTAAATGATTATTTTTCTTGTTTCTATCATTTTATGTTAATAAGTTCACTTAACCTTTAAGCTTCAATATTTTTTGTTGTTGTATAAAGAGGAGTATAGGAGTATATGTATTATTTGTAGCTAGGGATGTTCATGATGCCATTTGCTTGTACAGGAGATGAATTACTGCATCAAAAATGCAGCTGATTTACTTTCATAGCTTGAAAATGTAATGGGTTGGCTCAACTTTGTCCTTTAAAGAGACTTCTTAGTCAAGTTTCTTTATGTTCTTTATGTTGCATGCCTATAGCCCACCTCACCATGCGAATAAGAGGAGGAAAGCGTGTGCTAGTGTTACTGCCAGTCGTCCATGATATGTGTCCTGTAGAGGTGTTGATTTAACTGTGTAGCCCTTGTAGAAAACTTTGTGTTACCCACTGTTCTATTGCAGATGGACGATCTGCTGAATGAGATCAGGCAGCTTAAAGATGAGCTGAAGAAAAAGGATGAAACAATCAACCAATTAGAGCACCAACTTGTAAGTATAATGCTAAATGTTTCACAGTCTCTGAAGTGTGTGCTGCAGAGCATAACTTCGATAGGTAGTCCTTCTGAAGGCTTTAAGAGGGCCAGACATCTGATTTTTTTTTTTTTTTTTTTTTTTTTCCCCTACACTTTCATTGTAACAATAGTAGATTTGGATTCTGTTTAGGCCCACCTGACTGATGGGTCTGTAATGGTTTGGTTAGCAGACGGATTCTACATGTTCTAGTGTGTTTGCAACCGTATACCCGGTCTCTCTAATTCTGTAGGCCAGTCATGATTTGTATGTGTGGCACTAAGCAAGGATGTTTATACAATTGTTATTAAATATATTTCATTTCCGAAACAAACACTTTGAACATAAAATTATAGAAGCTGTTGAGCAATAACAATGAGCAAAGATAAGGCACTTCATGCTTAAAACACTTTAAAAATTATCTAATATCAGGCCTGTTGTTCTGCTTGAAGTTTTTTTGTTGTTGTTTTACTCCCTCTCCTTTCCCCTACTGTCCTTTAGTTTAATAAAGAATTCCCCCATAGAATTTAAGGCTGAGCAAGGTATTATTCAAAGCTGATTCTTTTTTAAAACAAAACAAAGCATGTTGAATAGTAAGATTAAATTGGCCAAATAAATAAAAGTTACAGGGGCACTTTTATCATAAGTCAGGTTCAGGTGGACACGTAAGTCCTCAAGCAAAAGTAACGTATGCATATTCGCTTTTTGCTGTTGTTCTAAGTTAACTTTGGGTTTTACCATGTGTATTCTCCATTTGGTTCTGGCAAACTCACCTGCTGTGAGCTTACCATTCTTGTAAAACAGCCCCCCGTTTTCAAGCCGTTTCAAGCCACGGGAAGATCTTAAAAGTAAGGGTAGATGAGATACCAAGAGGTGCACACCATATTTATTTATCACGGCTGGAAACCGTCTTCTGGGACTATAATCTCTAATGAAATGCTTAGCATGTGCTTTTATATGTATGTGCACTAAAAACTGACCTGTGGTCTTCATCCTCTCCCTGTCTAGCATGTGATCATTCCCTCCAAAGCAACACTGGAAGGTTAAGATTTGGCTTTCTGTTCTGCTTAAACAACGGATCACACAGGATACCAAAACAAATTGTCTTGTCTATTAGTATTTTTCATTAAGTGTTGATTTTTCAGCACACTTTGTCTCACTCCTATCAGTATTCAAAGATTTCTTCCAGGAAATCTCTCCTTCCTACTAGGCTGTATACCTAATTACTGTAGTAGGTGAAAACTTTGATGCAGCTAAGGAACTCTGCTGTAAAGATGGGTAAAACTTATATTTGTAATTATTGAAATGTGCCTTAGAGTGTGGTGCTTCGGAAATTTAAGAGAATCAAAACCCCTTTCTAAAAGTCAACATTACTTCTAAATTATTGCTAAATATGCTTTGGAAAAATAAGCAGTTGTGCAGCGCTGTAAATACCAGTTTCTGCAGTTTAATTGTATTGTGCTATACTGCCAAGTAATGCGTGATATTTGAACACTGGGCTTTGACTGTGCTTTTCAAGCATCTTTGCTATTTTCTAACAAAATCTCCTTTCTGTTTCTCTTTTTGGGGGCGATTAAGGCCACTAGATGTAACTGCCAGAAAGACAGCCAAAAACCTACAGGGGCAGCGTGCGTGTATGCTGATAAATTTACACAAACCACCTGGAGGAGGAGTTCTGTGAGTAAAATGTGCCATTCCTTCTCGGGTATGACCTTCTGCATTTCATTCCCCAATTCTATGGCATTTGCTGTCATACAAGGTGGCACTATTTAAGAGATTCTGCGCTGTATGTGAGTGTGGCATCCTTCCTGCTGTGTATCCCTTGCATTCTTTTGCAACTCTCATTTAAACATTTTTTTACAAACTTTTATTTTAAAATAAGTAATTAAACTTTAGAATTCTCTTAAAATAATCACCTTCTGCACTATTTAAGGTACAGTCAGCCCAAGCCGTGTATCTAATCATACGTAACATATTTTCCTATATCCTGACTTAAAGTCATAGGTATCTTTGAGGTTTTTTTTCCTGGTTAAAGTTTCATTGTTGCTGTGCTCACATTTGTTCAGGAAAAGCAACAGTGTATTCTAAGTTTCAGTCCATAAGTGTAAAAACAAAAGGTTTTTTTTTTTTTTTTATTAATCATTTATTTGGAGAACTTGACTCATTCAAAAAATTACTGGGTGAAAATCACTTTGACAAATGACATCTTCATTCCCATATGTTGTTGCGCGGATCACATTTGCTTTCATTATATAAAACTTACATTCTTCATGGAACACTAATAGAATACTTAAGATGGGGAAGGGACAACACATTTGATGTTGTATAATAATAAGGAATTCTCACTGAATGATGAACAAGGCTTTTGTTAGTCATCAGCAAATAGTCTTTGGATCTTGAAGCTAGTGCTCTAGCTAGAGGATCCTAAGATATTTCTCTTTAAAAGATTAAAAATGGGTTAGATTTTTTTTGTTTATTCCTTATCCTGCCTTGAGTTACCTGATATAAGATTTTAGTGAAGATAAATCACCCCTGCTATCCTTCTAAAATTACTCTTTTGAATATATAGTGTTAGGATAGAATACACACTGTATGTTCACCAGTTGCTAGCAAACAGCTTTATCCTGCTGAGACCATGCTTTCCAACTGGCTTCTGTCTGGTAAGAACCCAGCGTAAAGAGATCCTAACCTTGAGTGGCTTTTAGTTTGCTCCGACACCTCTATTCCAGAAAGTGTGTGCAATGTCTTTCATGTTTATCCCATTTGTTGCTCTTTTCCTGTTACTTTGTAGCTTTTGAGCTATTTTATTGTTTCTGTTTCCCAGTTTTAATTTCCTATCTGTGATGTTGATTTGATGTTTTTCTGTGCTGATGCTATTCCTAGGTCAGTGGCTATTGTTGTTTCCATGTTCCTTCCTTTCCTATCATTTTCCACATAAATTCAGACACAGGTTAGTAACTATTGAAAGTTAGTTGCTAACTACAGAAGCTTTAGTTTGAGTAACCCGTGGTATTAATTGATATGAGAAAATTAATTGGAGCAGATGGGGTAAGTTGGTATCTCCGGTAAAAGTTATCATATAGCCCAAGTGTCTGTTTTGGTCAGGCTGAAGTATTTCTAAGTTCTTCACTAGTTTTGTTCAAAAAGACACTTTTTTGTCACGAGGAAATTCAAGTTAAGGGAGAATTAATTATAAAGAAAAAGGGCATCTGCTGTATTCATGGTTGGATGTGTGTATGCATGTGGATACATGTATACATATCTATGATACACATACATATGTGTGTAGGCATATGCTCATTAATGCACATTATGAACATCTTAATATTTTTATATTTACGTGTAATTTTTCTCATGAAAATTGATAAAAGAATAGGGAAAATTCATGAAACATTGACAAATCTTCAAAGTACACTGCTTTTCAGGAACTGTTATTTGTAAATGGTAGCTGAAAAATTTTGTGCAGAATAGTTTTTCGAATTCCTTCTCCTTTGCTTGTTTCTAAGTTATATGGGGGCTTTCTGTAAGCAAACTGGTATGAGCTCCTTAATGTGGGATTTCTTAAAGGCGGACGAGAGTCTTGCTGCTGTAGCCTCATTCCAGTTCTAATGATCAGACCTCAACCCTCTGGTTTAACAGTTCCTCTGCTAACACGCATTTGGATGCTTCCTTTCATGGCTTAGTAGAAGTATAAACGTAATAAAAGCCTTGGCATGAAATCGTTGTTGGTCTGGAACCCAATGACATAAAATGTCACTGGCAATAGAAAGGGGAGATAATTGGCTCCATTTTCTTGAGGCAGGAGTACAATAAATGGAAATAGCAGAAAACACCTGAGTAAAATGTATTCTCACTAAAAAAAAAAAAAGTTAAAGAAAATAGTTGTTTTGCTTTATTAACATTCCTGTTCAGTTTAAAATAATGACCTTGAACTGAGAGCGCAGGCTGTGAGAAATGGGCTTTATTGGTCCTAAACATGGTATGAATCATGGAATGTAGTTAATGGTTATGAAATGATGAAGTTTTTACATAGGCTACATTTTTTTAAACCAAATTATAATTGAAATCTTGGCAGTGAGTACAAGTCCTTTAAGGCATGTAAGTTTTTTGCTTCTTGAAGCTTGTTAATAGTTACCAAAGTTTGTGACTATTTAACTATTTTGTTTTTCCTGTAAGTGTTGACCTGTCAGTCACTTTAAATGATGGTGAGTATCAGGAAGTTACTTTAGTGAGATTATCAAAACTTTCAAGATTATTCTGACAGTTCACAAATTCTAGCAGAACCGATACTATGTGTCAATTCCCGAAGCATAAATAACAGCCTGGGAACACAGTGATTTACTGTTTCAAGCAATACTTTAAAAGTTATCAGAAACGTGCTTAACAAACATTGTTGGCTTCTAGGTGCTAGAACAAATGAGGAAATGGTGAGAGTGGAAATGAGCTATTAAAAGGCTTTAGTTAGGAATTTAAGACCATATATATGGATTGCAGTAATTTATTGCAGTTCTACTGTCCATTTGAAGTGGGTAGTATTTCTGATCGCTTCATCGTTCTCCCAGTAAATAGGCAAGTGAATATCATTAAACATTCTTTATAGAAAGTCATGTTCTTTTTCTGTTCTTTCTTTATTACCAGATATTTCTAGAAAATGGCCCATCCTGATGTGATTATAAACCTGTCTGGGGTTATTCTCTTTAGGGACCACATAGTTTTTTGAAAGTACTTTTAGGTTTTCTTCCTATTTAAAGGTAAATATGTACATAAATGGAAGCTATGTAACTTCAGGTTAATCCTTGGAACTTAGTACTCCATGTAATAAAACCTAGTGCCTGAAAATAAATGTTATGAAAATTGGTCATGTTAAGAATTAACCTAATGCCTAGCCACTGTCTCTGCTACATGGTGTTTCTTGTGCAAGCAGTGTCCTGACAGTATGCTCAAAACTACATTTTGTAATTTCTGACTGTATAAACAATGATAACTTAGAGGGAAACGTTATTATTTTTGGTTAGCCATCCTTGGGATAAAGGCTTATTAAAGTGTTCACTGACAATGACATTTCTAGAAGGATTTCTCATAGATCTCTTATACTGAATTGATTTCCAGTTAACTTATGCCTGTCATTTAACTATCACGGGGAAAAAGCCACCCCAAATCCTGGAAGAAGGTATTGCACATAAAATTACCTGAAGAAATTTATGTTGCTGGACAAAAGCTTACAAAGAAGAAAAATGCCAGCATCCATTGCTGCAACTGTCTCGCAGGCTTTGCAGCACTGTTTCTGTAATACTAAATAGTGACTTTTTTTTTTTTCTAAAAGATTTTTGAGGGTAAAGGGGTTAGGTGTCAAGTTTATGTTGAGAAATTACTTGGCTTCTCGAACTGGAAAGGTTGTTTGCAGATGCTGAGAAGTAAAAGACAAGCAAGCAAACTGCAAAGCCTGAATATGGATGAAGGTGTCTGTGAAGGATCGTAGCCCCTGCAGTCCAGTTCCGTAGCACAGCTCAGCTGCTCCTAGTGCAGGGTGCTCTTCCATGCCCTGCAACAGTAGATAGTGTACAGTAGAAGCTGATCTTTCTCCTTGGTCTTGGAATAGTACAGTGATAGAATAAGTTTTTCTTCTTAAATGTGTGTACAAATTCATTCTTGTCTCTGGTAAAATGGCAACAAACAATCCTGTTTGCCTGGGAGCATGCGTTCTCTTTTTCTTTGCTATATCTCTTCTCTGCTTCTGCGCTGGGATTAATTCTTTGCCTTCCATTTGAGCATCGTCCCATTTTGTCACTTCAAAGCCTTTCACGTCAGTTGTTGTGATGAACCTTCACATAATACTTCGGCTGTTTCTGTGTACTGTTGTCTTTGAGTATCTCCTTCCACCTTAGCCTTAAATTTTCTATGTGCCTTGACTCTGCAGCTATGAATTTAAACTTCAGGTTTTGAAGCCTAGTCATTACACTAGTGTTTATCTCCACGTTCAACCCAGGTTTCTCTTGTCCAGTACTGTGCTGCTCACTTGCTCATCCACGATAACATACATTCTTGGTGAGAAAGTACCATGGCTGGACCAGGCAGTCGTGTTGCGCGTGCTTCTTGCTCCATTACAGTAACTGCATAACATGCAGGCGCATGCGCAGAAGAGAGGGCCTTTAAACCTCTCACAGGAAATTCTTGCTGGTTTAGGGTAAACCAGCACATAACATGGTGGTTTGGGGTTTTGGGTTTGTTTTTTTTTACTTACCTGAATCTTTTCAGAAAGACTATTGTATGTCAGAACTGCTCATCCGTAATCTCTTTCGGGGTGCTAGGCTAGCAAGAGGAGACCACTGCAAAAACATTTTGCTTGCATTGATACTTGAAGAATGTCATTCTAGGTTTGTTCACAATGTGGAGCTCTGAGTT